GAACGTCGACGAAGACATAGGACGGTAGACGACGAAGACGACAAGTTCAAACGCGATTGATTGCGGCTTCGAGTGCGAAGACCGTGTTCATGTAAACGCGGAATGTCCGTGGTACGAAGAGGAGAGGGAAGTGCACATGACATGGCTGGGAAAAACGCAAGGAAGGGGCGTACAGGGAGATGTTTGAGGCATGGAATAGAGCTAAGGACGGTAGCTGTACTGGGGAATAGGAAGTGGATTGAAAAGGCGGGAAGTGATATCGTTAGGATAGATAGACTAGGGAAGACATTTTGAGCATGCAAAACATAAGAGTACGCCCCCCCCCCCCCCCCCCCCCCCTGGTGCAATTTCCTTTTTTTTTGCGCATACATGTACATGCGATCCCTCAAAACAGCTTTTTGTTGCAAAACAAAAGGCACCCCTACAGTACCTGGTCGCTCTGCAAAAAAAACTATTAGAAGCAAGTTGTTTGCTTCGGTCGATGTTTCTCGAGATTCCATCGACAGATTTTCGTGTGGGTTGGAAGAGGTGTCCCTCCTGGTCCCGTCCGCCCCTCCTGCAAGTTTGGTACAAAATCTTGTATCGTATATATATCTATCTATCTCCCCCCCCGTGCGAAGAACCTAAACACACCCGACCCTCCCTCTGATTTATACCCCCCATGGGTCGTGAAATCGAACTTGTCGCACTCCACACGACGGGAAGGATGCACGTCCACGGTTGGTTTCATTCATTCATGCAGGTCGACGGTTTTCCGCCGAAGGCGGTACCGCCATCGTTTATTACCACCAGAAGAAAACTACCGTATTTGGCAGTACCGGGACCTGCCAAAGGCGGAAACGCCGAAAAACCAAGTACGTACCGGGAACCGCCGAAGAGAGTACCGCCAAATTGAAATACCGCCCCGCCTGTATCCTCTTCTAAAAACGGTAGCAAGGTACCCCGAATATGTTGGAGAACGGTGCGTACATGAGACAAGACCCCAACACTCGCAAGAGTACTACGACGTGGTATCACGCGCGTGACGTTAAATGAAACCACGGAACCAACCCCTACTGGGCATTCATTCGTACATTATGGCGGGAAAAGATACGCTCAGGTTTAACGTAGATGTGGCGGGGTGGTGGGGATCTCATGATTTTTTTTGTTCGCAAGGCGGTCCCCTGAGCAAGTACAGCCGAGGCAGGGGACCTTATCCACCGGACTGGAACCAACGGACGGTGATAAATCTGGGCAGTGTCTAGATTCAGCAGCAGAGCAACATGGACAGCAGTGGAGTCAAATACAGAGTAGCAAAGCTTTAATGGGACTGACCGGTCTGTTTAGCTAATTTAGTCCCGACCAGAGCAGTACACACTGAAAGAATACAACTGTGAGAAAATCTATCGTATTCCGCGGTGAAAGCAGTAAAGCCACAGCTATGTAAGGTGGTACCAGACATGGCACCAGACTCCTACTAACCCTTTTGGCTATACGTCTAGAGGCGCTCTGGCAGATCATTGATTGATCATTTGTAAATGCTGGTGTTGTGGCATGCCATGGAGTTGCCCCCCTGTATCCCTCCACGCCAGGTGTTGGCAAGTCAACAGGTAGTAGGTGTGTCTTTATTATTCGCATCGACCGCGCCACCGGTGATCAATGAAAATAAGTTAGTGCCAGCGGGTAATATCAAGGTCCCTGGAACGGCCAAAATTCGAGTTATGCACACTGCTCTAAACGCGAATGAATGCCACCATGAATCTCTCCCCATATCCCTTCACAGAGACACATCAATGGCTCCACTTACTGCATGCCCTCGCCCGAAACTAGGAAGCCACTACATGTAAAGACATAAGGACAGCGAAAGTCTCTCCTTGCATTACAGGGACGGGCTTGCTGCTTGATACACATTGCATCATTACCAAGAACCACAATAAGCGCCAAAGATGATTCCTAAGACGTGCCCTTCGCCGGAGCGCTTGGTCTTGGAGGCATGCACACTGCGTTTCCCCGGAGAATGAAGTGCCGACCCTCTCCCGATGCGATTCCTCGCCCTTTTCCACCCCTTCCTGTGTGCGGATACTGATGCCAGTCAGTATAACCAAAATTTGAAGTCTTTCCACCGTGCGCAGGTAGAAATGCACATTGCGGACAGTGACGCGACCACCTCGGCAAGAGTCATCGAATGAATGTTCCAAAACGTCCACATCGCCCGCCACACACAGAGCACCAACCAGTACACACAGCGTGTAGACATACAGTAGGGGGGCCGATATAAGGCGGTGTAGTGCGTGGTGAAGGAAACCGCCTTATATCGGGCAGCCGCCTTATACGTGTATAAGGCGGTAACCGCCTTATACACGGTCTGAGATTGGCCCAATAGGTAGGGCGGTGATCGCCTTATTGAAGACAAATGAAGAAAGGAGGTTTCAGCGTATTGGGCATCACCTCACGGCGCGTCGCTGAGTGGAAGAAATGGTCACGCGTCATGCATTCACGCGTGTAGAACGAGCAAGATTGCTTGCAATTGTCAGAGCATTGTTTGCAGCGGTATGTACGTGTACATCTGATGCCGTACGACCCCGCTGGGAGTGTACAGCAGAATGTACATCTGCATCCAACAATACCGCCGCACAAGGCTCTGGTAGATAGAGTAGACGAATAACGTGTCCAAACCAACACTTCTCTTCGGTATACTGATGCGAGGGACACGGAATATTTTTCCTTCGTGAAGAACAAAACTTAAGCTAGCCAACATGAACGCACGCAATACTTGGAAAGCAATCGTGGCACAGAAAATTTATTTGTATTCGCTGCGTCCATGACGCTTGGCCGGGTTAAGCACTACTTGCCCCGGCGCTTGTACCTCTGAAAATGCGACCACTCTTTGCAGCACACCCTGCTCTATGAAAGACAACAGCTGAGAGAATCCGTCTATCCACCTACAAGAACTCTCATGTCCGACTGCCGCACGGGTTTAGACGCGTGAGCTTTGATCATCGCCATTTTGGCCTTCTGAAGGTGGAAAACGGCTTCGCGATTGCCGGACTCCCCCGCGGCCCTTTCCAGAGAGCCGAAGTGTTGGGAGAGTTGGCTCAGTGCATGCTCCGGGCCGACGGCGTGTGTGCAAAGAGTAAGAGTGATGTGTCCGCGCTCGTTCGCATCGAATTCCTCCGCGTAAAAAAATACGGTTTCGTGCGGCCGAACACAAAAAGTGTGTGCGCGCCTACAGTAGGGTTGTATTCCGTTAAGCCAGGGCGTTGTGTTGACCACTCCTTCAGGTGTCTTGGGCAACAAAGGTACAGGTGTTTCAGAGAAGGGCGTAGTGATGCGAAGATGATCACCGCCTTATATCGGATTTTTCTTGGGTAGTTACCGCCTTATACAGGGAGATTGCCTATATAAGGCGGTGCCGCCTTATATCGGGTCTGAGTTGTGTGGGCCAATTTCAGCCGCCTTATATCGGACAACCGCCTTATATCGGGCCCCCTACTGTAGCGGCAAAATAGATACGGCAGGCGGACATCTGACCCACCACACGCAATGTGATCTCAAGCCTGCCGAACTTCCACGGCGTGAGTAGTCTCTATCTTATTGCAACGACGACCCACGTGTGTATTCCAAACACGGGCGACGGCAGGCGTCTCGTTTACTGTAATCTCACGTCACACACGGCGTCTGAAAGATACGTACTTCTTTTTTTTCGCGGAAGACTACCACCTGTTATCACACCCACAAACACACCCTGTGGGTGTTCGGACGTGCTATCACAACCCCTTAGGATCCTTTTATCACCCGGGCTACATAAGAGGTACCACCCCCCCCACAGGATAGATACCACACCCGGTGATAACATTTTCTACAAAATGTATCTACCACCGGGGGGGTGTTATCTTGTGTACAGCAGCAGTGCCGGCACTGACGGTAACTGCTGCTGTGTGGAAAAAATTGCTGCTTAAATTTAAATTTTCGAAATCTAAAAAATACCAACGGCAGAATTGTGAGACAAATATTTCAGGATCACGTGTACAATCCACATGGCAAGTCAAAGGTACTGCTGCAGCAGCTGGGAAGGGTTCAAACGGGAATATTCTACCAAGGGGTGAACCCACTCGGCAAGTACGCAAGTACGTGCGCCATCACCTATTGCTCAAACCCACCTGCGTATGCATACTTGTATCTACGTGATAGGTGCATCGCTCGCTCGCCAACCAGCGCCTCAAGACTTTGCCCCGCTACCGATCGATGCGCCTCGTTTGGGTGGGGCTACATTTCCTTTTGTCATGTTGGTGGTGTTGAGTAAACACCAGGGTGGTTGTAGCTCTCATGGAGCAGTAGTGGGGATCGAGGCTCATTCCATCTGTTAAGACGAGGTGAACTTGGTGACGGCCTTGGTGCCCTCGGACACGGCGTGCTTGGCGAGCTCCCCGGGGAGCATGAGGCGCACGGCGGTCTGGACCTCGCGCGAGGACAGGGTCGCCTTCTTGTTGTAGCGGGTGAGCTTGCCGGACTCGCCGGCCACGCGCTCGAACACGTCGTTGATAAACGAGTTCATGATGGACATGCCGCGCTTGGAGATACCGGTGTCGGGGTGGACCTGCTTGAGCACCTTGTAGATGTAGGAGGAGTATGACTCGGTCCTCTTGTTGGTCCTCTTCTTGTCGCCGGCCTTCTTGGGCGCCTTGGCGGACTTCTTGGAGGGGGTCTTAGCCATGGTGCTGATGAGGGTGTTGTGCGAGAGAGACACAAGAGGACAGAGAGAAGTGTGACGGGGTGTGGCCAGGAGGAGAGAGCTCCGTCGAGCGCCGGAGAACCTGTTGGAGGCGTTGTTGGCGTTGTTCCTTTTCGTCCACCGCTTTCTTTTTGGCCAATCACAGAGCTAGATACTGCTCTCCGCCAATCAAAGACCCGAACGGTGCGGCGAGATCATCAGTCTTTCTTTTTGCACTTCAGAATTCCTCCGCATCGACCAGAAGCCGCCGTTGCCATCCTCACCCCTACATCGCCACAACTTTTTCACGCATCTCATTCTCTCTCTTTCGCCTTTATCACCTTACAACAACCATGTCCGGAAAGGGAAAGGGAGGCCGCGGAAAGAAGTCGACCACCAGGTCGGCCAAGGCTGGACTGCAGTTCCCTGTGGGCCGTGTCGGCCGCTTCCTCAAGAAGGGCAAGTACGCGTCCCGCGTGGGTGCGGGAGCTCCCGTGTACCTGGCCGCCGTGCTGGAGTACCTGACCGCCGAGGTGCTTGAGCTGGCCGGCAACGCCGCCCGCGACAACAAGAAGGCCCGCATCATCCCCCGCCACATCCAGCTGGCCGTCCGGAACGACGAAGAGCTCAACAAGCTCCTTGGCGAGGTGACCATCGCGTCCGGCGGCGTGCTGCCCAACATCCACGCCGTGCTCCTCCCCAAGAAGGTCGTCAAGAAGTAAGCTCCCCTCCTTCGACATGGCAGCCTGCTGATCCGCCGCGTGGTATCACCACCAACTGCGTGCGAACAAAAACCTGGTGTTTACTCAACACCACCCTTTCGAAACTGAGAAAAACATCAGAGCCGAACCTGCCGTTTGCCCCCAAGACCTTGATTTGAGTTGCAGTTTGTTGGATTTGACGAGTGTTGTGAAAGTTAAAGTTCGTGTCAGCAGGAGGAGAGGTTGTGACTCAGCCTGGTTGAAGATACCATCATGGATCACAAGGGTGTGTATGAGTGGTACGTACCTTGTGTCAGTGTGATACATAAAAAGTAGTGTACTCACAGAATTTTCTAAATGGATTCGGTTTGAATGACCCCGAGTGGGAATGAATGAGGTGTGATGAAATCTCGCCCGTGCGGTGAATCTTGCTCACAGAACAGGACCTAGTAAGTGCTGGTGCAGAGGGTGTGATGGGGAAGTAATCTAGTCTTTCCTCGGAAGTGTGGTCTTGCTCAGACTGTTTGGGGGTACATGGACGTATGCGGTGTGGTTGGCTTTTCGGTAGCGGGTGGTGGTGCGGGTATGCGGGCCTCGACAGCACGCGCGTGCGGTGAAAGACACAGCAGGTGCTGCGGGAGTCGCAGCAGTAGTCCGTTTGACTTACTTATGGTGGGGTTCACTAGTTCCATGTGGTGCCATGAACGGCTGTTGAGGGCAAACAAATGAATGATGTTGCGAGAGTGGAGCAGCCGCTGGAGTCTCACCCAGTACAGGTGCTTTTCAGCAGGGTTGTGAACTGCACCTCCCACGATATGGACTGCTGCCTCCTTTGCATACGCTACGTGTGTACTGGTTTGTTTGTGTTGGCAGTGCGCGTTAAACCCTTGCGTGACTACAGGCCGATTCAGCTTCGTTCTCAGCTCCGATTCTTTGCGTGCCGAAAGATCGCCGGTGTGCCTCGGCTAAGAGCAAAAATCATACTTTAGAGACCAGCAGGAAGACACAGGAGCCCATCCCAAAAGCACGCTCATCAGCAATGCGCACAGGACTCACATCGTACAACACTATTCACCCATGCCTAATCTCTCTGAAGTGGGGTAGATATCCTTTCCAGATCCAATCTACTGCCTACCGGTACTACTACTGCTGTAAGATTCAAACGCAAAATACCACCGGAGAGGGTACATACAGCACCCTGAACATGTGATCAACACGGTGCCGCATCCGTGGGGGAGAGCAGAGAAAGCGCACACCGGAGCCGATGCTTACGTACTGCCTCGGTGCTTGATGTTGTGATTGCGATGCGTGTGGTTCCCAGTATTGGGAGTGAAGGGTAGTTCGTCTGCTGTGTGCAAAATTTCGCTCAAAGGCAAGCGTTTTCGGGACTACAGCTCCGATCACAGCTCTCTATTTGTAGTACAGAATAGCAAAATTTATCACAAATTTATGCATTTTGTGCGATAGTGGATGATGGTCTCGATTCTCTGGTGAGCAGGCCGTTTTTTTCGTCGATCTGGCGCTTCTGTGAGAGGCGTTTTCCCGTCAGCGTCTTCGCATCTGGCGCCGCTAGTATATACGCTTGCCGTATGCTTTGTCCAAGGATGAGGCGGAGAAGATGTGCCAACAGGTATTGCTTGCAAAGGTACATCCTCTGTGCGGACGGTTGCTGTCGGAGACAGGCATGCACACCTGCTCAGAAACTACTGCTGCTGCTGTACAGTCTATTTCTCTCCGCATAGTTGCTACTGCTGCTACTGTACTCTTGTTCGTCACCCTTACATACACCGCGTCCCCATCCCTGTGAGCCCCACACATGGACCCACTGCTGCACCATCCTTGCCGCCGTGATTTTTGGGTGAACACGCATGCTTGGAAGATCTTGACCGCAGAGAGCCAGTTGTGGAAAAAAAAAAAAAATTAACCCAGTCACGTGAGGGTTAGGGGAGAAACGCGCATGCGTTCATACATGGCGCATGTGCGCCGTGTTGACGAAACAAAAGTGTCCCGATCTCTCCTAACCTCTCGTACGGTAGGTTGCTGCGTTGCCTGTCTTTCGGTGTACCCCAGCGTGACAACGTAAGCGCGACCGATTCTACCCTCCCCCGTCCCATCCGGGCAGTTGATCTCTATCTATTGCTCTAAAAAACAAATGTTCAATTCCGGCAATACATGCGAACGCTGCAGGCCGTTGCATCAAAATCCCTAATACGTAGCTAGCCGCCTTGCAACCCCGACCCTCCCCAACGCCTTCCTGCAGCAAAGTGCGAACGTCTCCGAGGACTAGGCAAACCCCCACCTCTACCGCTCACAAATCTTTTCACCCACGTAGCATCCCAAAAACATCCCGGTTTCCAAGTGACGTGCGTTCGCGCGCAGACTCAAGCAGTACGGCGGCACAACTGGACTTGAACGAATTTCCCCCCCACCTGTTTAGCCTTCCACACCGCCGCTTGTCCCCGACGAGACTCCGGATGGAGGCTGGCAACAGCTTTTGAAAGGGCAAGGTTGCGCCCAACAACAGCGGCATTGGAACACAAAATGAACGCGTGACGCACCGCGCGATCTCACCGCATCCCACGCGAGAGGAGACAAGAGCGTCCACCTCACGCGACTAAGGAACGGTAGGCGGTCCTCGTCTTTCTGCGACCGCAACTTTTTGTATCTCCCCGCCCTTCCTCTCCAAAATCACGTGACGGTGCATCCGGGGTGCACACCAAGGAAAACATGGCCGACAAAATGGTAGCAGTACGCGCAAGGTAACCGCTTCAAGCAAGGAGCCGACCAAGTCTAGTCGCGCAACCTGCTACGTGAACCGTCGCCACACTCGTACCAAGCGCGCACTCATCAAGCACAAGTCAAGGCGAAACGGCCTCCAAGCTCGGGTTTCATGTGATATGTACCGACTGCTGGCGCCCTTCTGAAACGCAGACCCCAATCTATGGCAAATTAAACACAAACTCAAAATCCGCCCGCCTTGAGTCCGAAACTTTAACTTTCGCAACTTCTGGTAGCAACGGGTCGTTTTGGACGGACACAATACACGGTAAAAAAAGGCTTCAACCCGCGGTACAACATGTTTATATATGCCAAGGGCTCGAACGCAACCAACACACCCCGGTACATTCCACTCTCCGCATGACACACAACGGAGTGTACCCAGGCACCAACGAAAAAGGGTGCTTGCTCGATAGCTTGCCGTCATTGTATCTGTTGGGCAGGTTCGGGCTCAGGAGAGAGTGGAGCAGTTGCAGCTATCTCCGGTGAGGGATGTGCCCGACAGGACGACAGCGCGTCCGTACCATCGCTTGGCTAAGGATCATCTTAGTCTCCCGCCGTCCTGGTCAAACGAGAACAAGTCAAACGAGAACAATGCAACACGAGGCGACAGACGTCAAAAGGAATGACAGAAAACTGAGCAGACGACACGGTAAACCGTTTCGATTCTACTGCCGAAAAAAGAGAACGATGAAGGACCGAGAAAACCATGGGAAACAGACAGCCTCCGTGGCTTCGCAGCACTAAGGTTTTGGATTAACGAATGCACGATGCCAACGGTATATGTTTGCCGACGGGGTGCCTGAGTTTGATTCCCCGTTGCTTGGGGATAGACGAAAACTTCGTACATGGTCTTTTGGCAAAATGTTGTGTTTGCATTGAAGACCGTTAGGACCTCTATCCAGTGGTTGTGTCCTCTCTTTCCCATTTCCTCAAAAACCATGCAGCAAATTTCTGCAGTCACATACCTAACCCCCCACTAACGAAAAAAGAAATTTTTTGAAACGTCCGAGTGTTGAACGCATCACTCGTCAAGCGTATTCTCCGAGTTGATCGTTATAACTAAGACAACTGCTCGCTACAACAATTTGGTATACATGTAGGTGAAAACAAGGCAAAAAAGTGAAAATGTTCAACGTGGGGGTCCGTTGAAAATTTCAAAAAAATATTTGAACAAAATAACGCACAAACGCAGCACAATTTCGACCTCCTCTTTGTGTGGCCGGCCGCAATCAACAAGTCTGTCATTTACACCCGGAAGTCATTTGAGACGAATTGATGGAAATTTTCCCTCACCTCGCCATGTAGGCCTGAAGATCAGCGGGCTGCAGCACGATACAGCCCTCGTTATTCCGCATCATGCTTGGTTCCAGACCCATGTCCGAAAGAAGTTCCATCACTCTTGGCTGTAAACAGCGGGGAAGGGGGGGGTATGGTAGGGGGGGTACTGATGAGTTGCGTGCTACACGTGCAATCGTTCGAAGTTTTGACGCATCTCGCACGAAACGAAGCGCGGCACCGCTCCGACTGCCAACATCGAGCACTCTGGACGTTGATGTACCCCTATAAGCTACCCTAGACATTTCCGTGGTTCTTGATTTTCTCCTCCTCGGAGTACAGTAGTTCCCCTTCGAGTGAAACCGCTCAGCATCCATCTCACCCCTTTGTTACCATCTGCCGAGACGTCAAAGGCAGCCCTTTCGCCATGAAGCCTTCGACGTGACGCCAGCACGCAGTGCGCTCCCTCTCTGCTATGCCACGAAGGCCTCTAATATTGACAACGAAAACAAAAAGCTGCTTCCGGAGGAACAGGGGGAACGGCTGCACCCCTTACGAGTCCGCATCAACACGGCGACAGAAACAGTGGCCCCATCGCTCTCAGCGACAGCAGCAACATCTGCGCCAACGCCATCGCCATCACCACATCACCGCAACTGCCACCACCACCACCACCACCACTACCACCACCGCTGCTGCTGCTGTACTGTACCTTAATCACCGCTTCCCCGTCCTTGCTGTTGTTCCCCATCCCGGTGATGATCAACAGCTCCTGCGCCGGGTCGTGGAAGGTTCTCGTAGCAGGTTTTCGTGCCATGTCCAGCAGCACCACTCGAACCGCCGCTCTTCAGAACCAACAACAACAACACATTAGCGAGGGGGGTCGTGTGTGGATCTAACACACACGTCGGGGGAGAGGGGGCTACGTGGTATTCTTCGCACGAACGCCACCGACGAGTGTCGGGTGAGGCGTGCGGCGTGTAACGCTCTGCCACCGAGTGCTGGGCCGCTGACCATGATGGGTTAGAAAACTCGCGGAGCGACAAGGAAGCTGCGGATGCTTCATCGTACCATCGCACCTCATCAGCAATGAGAACATCCAAAACCTTTATAATAGCTGTGGTAAGAGATCACGTCGTTGGGTTGTAATGAAAAAAAAAAAAACTACGAAGGTGATGGTGCTTCAGCTGCAGTGGCCTCCATGGCGATTCCCCCCCGAAAATAACCGACTAATCTTCCTTTTCAAAGCGAGAATCGACAGGTAGAGGTCTAAGTAACACGTACAATAAAATAGCCAAAACACGGACTCTCAAACTCACAGCGCCGTGCTGACGGTGTGATTGTGTAGGTCCAACTCCGGGGGGGCGAAAGAGTTGAGCTCTTCGATCTTGTCGCCGAGGGCATCCTCGAAAATCATCGTTGCCATCTCGGGATGTCCGGTCTTGAAGAGCACCTGTGTCGGTCAATGTTGCCGTGTAGTTAGTACTCGTTGATTTCATCGCTTTTGTCTTCGTTCTACGAAATGGTTGTGGTTTGCTGGCCATCCAATTTCATTGTGACGCACCGGTCGAACTCAGTGGACAAGGGACCTTGAGGGTCGTTCTGTGCAAATTGGGTACTTCTTTCTGCTTCAAATAACTATCAACACAGGCGAACGGTCACGCTTGGGCGAAAGCCGTGAGAGTGCTCTGGCGGCAACAACAAAAAACATGGGGTAACCAGGACAAGATTATAACCACATTTCAACTCACGGAGCAGATCTCATCGTAGACGAACTTTCCCGGAACCAGCCCGTTTCGCTTGAGGTGCTCCACCAGCAGCAAGCTTACTTGCCACAGCTTCTCCTTCGAGGCAAGCCCCATGATCGCACTGGGGACGTGAGGTCGCGGTCAGGGTCAGGCGGTCGTGACTAGGGATACAGCGCCAGGCTCTACTTGCCGCAGCGTGTTGTCGCCGGTCAGGTGGGCGATACGACACGATCCCCCGCCCGAGTACTCTAGTAAAGAACTCCATGCTCGCCGTAATGCCGTAGCAGAAAAACTCAAGCACTATCTGTGAACAAGGCTAAGAACCCCCACACTAAAGCCTACCATGGTATGCATACATAGCGGACATTTCTAGCCCAAAAGAGGAACTCAGAACCCCACGCCTCGGTCAAACCTAGAGGTTTCTTTCAGCGCGGGCGCTCTCTGTACGGCAGTAACGCTACTTGGAGGAACTGGTGTCCTTCGCGACTACTAATACGCTCCTCCCAGCACGCAAACACCATTTCCAGTGTTTTTTCTGTCGCGCTGCGTGCGTCCATAAGTGTTTCCTACACGATGTCACAACAACCTTTGGGACTGGGCGTGCTGCAGGTACTGGGCAGAGGCAAGAACCACTGTTGTCAACAACAACAACAACAACAACAACCGCAACAACAACGACAACAACGGCTCTGAAGCGAAGTCTCACCGGTAAGTCTCCTCGAACGGCTCGATCTTGTCCTGGCGCATCATCATCGCCAAGCAGAATACCTTCTGCGTCTGAGTGACTCCCGGCGCGTTGGGGTGCGGGGCGGCGTAAGCCTTGATCAGGTCCTCCGGCAGACACACCTTGTTCATGTCGCTGCGGGAGGTGGCGGCGGTGGTGGCAAAACAAACAAAACAAATTACGGTTGCGCTACCGAAAGCCCCCGCACTTAAGACCACGGCACAAAACACCATCGCAGCGTAAACTCAGAGGGTTCAAATTTGCCAAAACACAAGGAACTTGAATTCCACCCCCGCCCTGAAACCTACATGTATCCAATATAGCTTTTGATAACCCGGAGAGGAAAAAAAAGAGTACTACAGCCTGTCTGTCGACCAAAGCGAGCCGCATCATCCCTGTCTAGGAATTCGGAGACGGGTTTCAAACCACGCACCACAACGAAAAAAAATACCGCATAAGAATCACGAAACAGGAGCAACAACCACGATGACGTAGGACAAAAACCCAACCCGATGGTCTTCATGAAGACAATATCGCTAGAAAAAGGGTACAAAAAAAGACGCCCCGAAGACAAGACTTATTACTCGGGTTGGGACTCGAAAGCGGAGCTCTCTTGCAATGCCACGCAGCTGCACTGATTGGGGGTCACTACGACGGTGAACTTGGGTTCTATAGGGATATCATGTCCCATGCGTACCTGAGGAGGGTGGACGCGTGGTCGTACTCGCCCGCCTTCCGGCAAGCCTCGATGGTCGCCACGTACGCGTTCACCGAGGGAACGAAATCGCTATCCCTGAACGCACGAAAGGACAAAAAAGGATACGTAAGGGGGGGCATTCAGCAGAATCATGGGGATAGGGTACAACAGCAGTGTTGGCCATCTCACCAGAAACCGTAAAAACAGCACGAGGCTAACCCTCGTAAGAGGGAAAGGGTGCGCTTCAAGAGACTGACTGTTGCCTCTTGGGCATGTGCTTCGGAGGACTTCGTAAGCGCCGTCGAGCTCGGGATATGCATCTTTCTTTTGCTCGGAAACTTCAGGCTTTCACCCCAAAGAGCCGCCAGTTAACAACCCTCTCTGTCACGGGTGGCTCTTGTCAAGAGGTAATTGTGCCGGGCACGTGCTGCAGAGCTGTCGTGGTGAGGCCCACTACTGCTGTTACGCTTGGCGCTCTTCTCTTGCGTTCGCCCTTTCGAAATTGCGTGATTTGTAGTCTATACAGATTGTGATACAAATTAACTTGTTGAGCAATTTCAAAGTCCTGTTCTGGAGGAGATTCTCTTCTCTTCATCAGTACTGTGCTTGGATTTCATTCGGTTTTCCCTGCGATACTGATATCAACGTGTAATGCGTTTTCCTCCTGGGGCAAGCACACGAGGAGGTGCCGCATGGCCTACAGCGGGTTCACACGGGTTTCTAATGTCGAGACAGGAAGAGCCCACTACTGACAGGAGAGCGGCCAACTTGAGATGCCTCTCGCAGCGTATATAGTCTTTCGGGGAACAACCTTGCTATGGACAAAATACCAGAGGTCAGCTGCGTACACCCAAACCGAGCAGATGGCATCGGAGGGACAGCAGTGCACCGTTAAATGTTTCGTTGATCGCGATTGTACAACCAAGAATTCCTCGGCCAGTGTCGTTGCTTCGGAGCCCTGGGTGGCCAATGCCAGAAGAATTCGTACATCCTCCAACACGTCACCCATTTGGTCGGCGAGGGATACCGCCGCGCACCCGCAGCCCCTACTACAAAAAGCCTGTCACCCACTCTGCCTATATTCCCTGTCTCTGTCTCTGTCTTGTCTGTCTGTCTGTCTGTCTGTCTCTCTCTGCGTCTCAATTTCTCCGCCCCTCCACCCTCACCGCATGGCCTTGATCAGCTGGACGGACTTCTCCCAGTCCCCCCCAACCGCGTACTCCACCGCGGCCTCGTCCTGCTTCTCCGCACCCTCGGGGGCCACCGCGCCCGGCGCCAAGTTTCCGTAAAACTCCGCCTTCTTGTCCATTACCCCGCTCTCGTCGGAATCCGCCTTCGCCGACAACGGGGACACGAGCGCACCCCCCCGGCCCGCTCTCGACGGCGATAACGCCGCCCAAAAGCTCGGGAGACCCGCCGCCCTCGTCCCCGCCGCTGTTGCCCCCCCCCCCGGCCTCATCGAGGATGAATCTCCCGAGTCTGCGGGGGCCCTCGTCGTGAGCGACATCGTCGCAGGCTCGGCGGAGATCCTGCTGACGTGCTGAGGGCCTGCTCTGCCGCTCCTGATGCTGCTGCTGCAGGCCCCGCTGCCGATACTGCCACAGCTTCGTGCGCGTTTATGTGACCGCCAGCGGTAGGAACAGCGACACGAAGAGGGTTTACAAGAGGCGTTTTGATCAAGGGAAAACAAAAAACACTACAGAAAGCACTACATTGAAAAAAAGGGGCAGAATGTACCAGAGCGGTGCACCCTTCCTTCACGATTCGCCAGAACTTTGGGTTGTTTCTTTTTTCGAGCCCGTCTTGGGTCATAACCTCACCACCGCCGATACTCATCGCACAGACCTCGTCACCAAAACAACAAATTGTCTCAGGACAGCATCCGTTCTGTGCCATTCAGTTATACGCTTTTGAGTTTGCGTCAAACTAGACAAATGCATCGCATCTGAAAGTAAATCTGCTTGCTGTCGTTGCTGCTAGTCCAGCGTTTGCACTTTCGGGAGGCACTTTTCACGCAGCTGTTGCACGGTCCCACAGTTCCCCGAATAGCCTCGTTGGCAATCAGCCGTGTGACAGATGAATGACCGGGCTACCATAGGTTGCTTAAGATAACACACCCCTTGGGCCGAGAGCAAAAGCTCGATTTACGGCATGACGAAGAGGATGCCACACCCAAGCGATCCATTTCGGAAAGCTCTCGACGAGACGTTCCCATCCGCTACTGTTTTCGGCTGCAGATTACTCGAGCTTTGGAAATGGTTCAGGGTGTGTGGTATCTAATGCAACCTAATGTAACCATCTTGACAAGCCTACTACTATAATATTGTTTCATCCTCACCGGGACGGTCAGGTTCAGCCTGCAACAGCAGTCGCCAACACAGCGACCCGGTTAACTTTACAAGTATGCAACGCAAAAAATCTAGTGCAGCAGGATCGCCCATTACCGATCCCAGTCTACCTGCATACCGTATGCATATATGCTATATCAACTCCAAAATGTGTCTGCCTCCAAAAATATCGCTAAATTATGTAGCATAGAGGGAACTTGGCTACCTGACCGAACTTTCATGCCCATGTTACACATCCTTGTAGAGTGCCGAATGGGCCGGCACTTGGAAGGTTCACAGCGTGTGTGGTACAATATGCCTCCTGACCACTGCTGTGTAGTATGTATGCACACGTACAACGCTTTAAGCATACTACCATGCCATCGACGGTTTTTCCATCACTGACCCTAACCATAGCCCCGAAGAACGGAATTAATACTTGTACTTCACCCCATATGTTTGCTTGATCAATTTTGCAGCGTAAATTTAGACTACTGGTTTTTCCACGACAGCAGGTCAGTGAGGTGTTGGCAAATTACGTGGTCCAAATGGAACAGCAAGCTGTACAAAACAGTACCATTTTTTTACAATGCGCGTTTTCTTCAGTTCAACATGCATACACACCAAAGCGAGAGCTAAAAGATGCTGGAGCTACCGGCAGGGTGTGGGTGAAAGACGAGCTGTAGACAGATTCATTGTCGAGATGTTGAGGGGATAATCTATTCCAAGTTACATATCGGCCGCTAAATTACGTTAGACAACCACGCATGTTTCGCTCTGCTGTCAAGGAAACCCCCGACAGCATCCGCGACCGCGAAGCCTCGACGATGCAGCAACAGCAGCAGGCGACTACACTAAGGCGTGTGGTGCACTAAGGAAGCCAGCGCGCTTCGGATCCTTCACCATCTCTCGCTCCGAATAGCCGACTAGACTATGGACCCCAACAATATTTTTGGGTAGCGGGACCCGCTCGTGTGACCAAGTCACGGTGCTCAAGCTGGAGGACAAGGGGCGAGAAAACAAAGCACGTGAATCACCAAACTACCCATCCCCAGGAGCTCCTTCTACTGCTGTGGGCACAGTATTCGCACACGGTGCGTTCGCTCTGCTGATGCTCTTGCGAGCTATTGACCAGGGGACAGCAGAGAGAGTTGACGTACACCATGATACGACCCTTCAACATGCACCGCAAGCATACCTCCCAAAAGCCAGGGTTTCAGCCGCACTTCTGTCCAGCGACGTCGAAGCCATGACATTGCCCATTGTCGAGGCCAGCGCCCCGGCCCATAGCCACCGCATTTCCCGCATGCGCACTATGATTCCTGTGAGTGTGTCAGAGGTCAGAGATTGAAGGGGCGGGGAAAAATCCACGAAACCCCCCAACTTTGGGGGGGGTGGGGGGGGGGTCATGACGGAATGCAAGGTGTGCCGCCACGCCGCCACCGAGCCACCGACTCGTACATATCAGCAGTGCATATCATGTGATGCGGTACAGCATAGATCAGCAGTGCCGGCCCACTCATAAGAAACACCCTCATACCACTGACCCGAGATCAGAACAGTTTGTAAATTTCATGAAAATAGCAAATAGCCTTTATAATTTTTCTGAAGATCAATAATGCGCCAAATATTTTTGAGAGCCAGCCACCGCGGCGGCACATTTTCACCCAGGGCTCATAGGCTCCTTGTATGCATTCTCTGAGCGAGTGAGCATTGGCTATCACAAACCAGCCATCTACGTTTTAGTGTAGTGCCGACAGCGGAGCTTAGTTTCTCGCAGCGTTCGAAAAAAAACGTCTGAATCCTCCAGAGGAAATCTGGCCACTACTGGAACTCTTCTTGATTGAGTGTCCCATCGTCAAGAATACATTTATTTGACAGGTGGAGTGCGAATGCCTCCCCTTGCTGTAGACAACGGCATTGGCCGGAGCACTCGAAAAATGATGTAGAAATGCGGGAAAGTCACGTACCCTAGGCGGTAGTTTCTAGCGGTTTTTGGTTGATCGCCACGATTTTTGTCTCGTCAGGTGGCCGTTCGAACTCCGCGTCAGCGAAAGGTCGTTGCCCTAACTCCCGAGAGAGACGAGACAGACAGACAGCAGTAACAGCAGTTAACAGGCTCTTCCCCAGTCACTGCAAAGAAAGCCTTCAACACACACATCGATCATCCATCATCCATCCACCCCTTTGAGTGTGGCAGTGTGGCGTTATCTCGCATGATGAGTGTTTTTCGGTGGTGTATGCACATTCTCTAAAGCTAATTATTAATAGAGTTCTCCTTGCTTGCCCTGTTGTTGCTTTTTTTGGTTTCCCACGCAGTGCGCGTAAAAGATCAACCACCCAATCATTGTCGCTCGGTAGAGCATTGCAGAGTACTGTATGTACATGTTGCAAATCGACCCCCCACCCCGAGTGTCTGCACGAGAGGTAGAGGGGCAATCTCTCAAAACGAAATACGGTGGCAACCCCAGAGGAAATTCAGGCAGGCACTGCTGTACGCAAAAGCGCAAGCACAGCCCACGGGCGCAATACTTAGCTCGATGGCAACCAAGTTGTTGTCGGGTGTTTACACCATCATTGATCTTCGATAAAACGTTCACGAATCCATGAAGGAAAGACACGTATGTAGGAAAATTTTACAATGATATGGGTGCTCGGGCCCTTCGTGGAGAAAGAAGCTGCGAAATCAACAGTAAACAGACAAAAATAAGGAGAGGCAAGGAAATCGCCGGAAGGACTTTTTGGACTACTATTACTACGACCACCACCCTGATTTCCTGTTAACACCCCGTCACAGGCGAACGGTATTTCGCGAAGACCCATCCTCCTGGGACTAAACAACCAAAGCAACGGGGCGATCTTTGCAACAAGCAGAACACCGACGAACCCCGGGGCGAACACAGTATTTTTTGCAGAACGTTACTACAATACAGGCCATTTGTTCTCTCGGAGGGAGAGGGCAGCCTGCACGTGGCGGGAGGCCTACAAAGACGAGACTCCACTCATTCCGCTATCAGCGTGCCATTCCAGGCCAAGGAACACAAACAACGGCTGTTCTCCAATGTCGAACGATGGAAGGGGTGGCGCTTCTAAAGATTCGACTGACGGCCGAAGTTGACTCGGAAATCATCTCTGGGCACATCCACAGCATCCACCTGTTGGCCTCAACAGGTGCCGCCCATCATGCACGTGCCGTTGGCTTTCATACAAAAAAAGGGCCTCAATTAAAAAACACGTTGTTCCCAATTAGACATGATTTCCTATCGTGCGATCACAATCGCGCCGCGTAAAATGCCTGATGCAGTGACGTGTCGGTACACCCTAGTGCCAGGCATACCACGGCCCATGCCCGGCGACGTGCCCGTTCACGTTTCTGGCGACGACGGTTTAGACGTAACCGGTTCAAAGGACAAAGCAGGCAGGCAAGTGATGCGTACAAATCACGTAAGATATTTCGGCGTATCGAGGACAACGAAACAAGGAAACAAAGCTTCTTGGCGTCCGGCGGCGACGGAAGCCATGGCTTCCAACGGCGTCTTTGAACTTCGGAACAAGCACTCTTACCTCAACAAAATCGGACATTGGTTAGACCACAGGCAAGTGGAAACACAAAACGTACACTTGAAGGCCTCACAATCGTTCCCCTCGACAAAAAAACGTTACTACGACCAGTGCACAACTTGCTGCCAGCCGCGGATACCCAGCGCGAATGCTTTCGCACAGAACAGGCAAACAAAGTTGACACTTCCAAGAATCTCGCTTCGCAAGCCCCCGGCTCCCAAGCATTCTAGAGGTCACCTAATACATTGACTGGATATCCAGCACGATTACAATCGTAGCATTTACGTTCCTTGCTATCGCCTCCTCTCGCTAGAAAGACATCGAAACAATAAATCTATCACCCATTCAATAAACACTACTTCTACTGTTGATACTGTTGTGTAGGGCAAGACCAGCGGCCATCTTAAACTTCGAACGAGCACCGCATGTTCGCCTTGTTCGCCTTGTTTCTTAGGGACGCAATTAACTACCGCCCAGCCGAAGTCGACTCCAGCAGCCACGCGTTGCAGCTATTGTATCGATTGGAAGCCGACGGGAACTGGCCGAAGCATGCCCCCGGAAGTCTTCGACGGTACAAGCACTGAAGAAAAGATACCCCGGTAATCTTCCAAGGCACGTCGCAATTTTTCTCCCCCCAGGTTCCTAGCTACTGGAGGGGTTCGGCGGTGCAGGCTGAGCGACATACCCCCCAACATTGCTCGTCGAGGAGGACTGCGAGCCGGCGGCGGTAGCGCCCTTGACGGCGCCCTTGACGAGCGTCGTCACCCCTAGCTTCGTCGGGAACCGGAAGATGCGCCACCCGTCCAACCCGATCTGGCCGGCCGACCTCGCCGCGTGCTCCGCCTCCGACCCGTACTTGGCTCCCGCGATCCGTCCCATACCGTCGCCAGTCGACTCCAGCAGCAGCTTGCCCTGGCCGTCTGCCGCCTCCCAGACTCGGCCGAGCGCCACCGCCCCGGTGACGAGCATGTCGTGGGCCTCGCGTCTCGTGGAACCCGCGGGAGCGCCTCGCGAGTTCGCCACAATGCTGCTGTTTGCCACGGCGTTTCCGGCCACTGTGGACACCTTGTCGATGACGGCCGCGGCGACGCCGGCGCCGGCGCCAACGACCTGGAACAGGCAGACGGGAATGGAACGTCAATGTGAAACGACAGCAGTGTGCCTTAGGAATTTGAAGATTTGTCAACCTGGCTACAAGTACAACGCTCGAGTTTTCGCAGGTTGCACGATATATTGCAGGAGGGAGTGCACGTTTCAAGGAAGGCTTGAAACACTGAAATCCGTCTACAATAGACAGGTGAAGAGCACGCCCTGAACGAAGCCATGCCGGTTGAACCAAGAAAAACCCGGGAACCGCAACAGCACACCAGCCGCCAAGATGCGTACAGGAAAGCTGCCCGTACGTTCGGAAATACCGCAGTGCGCAAGCGCGGGGATTTTTTCAGAGCCCCGAAAACCCAGAGCCTGTTGCCGTAAGAAAAGTGCCAAGCCACGCGTGTCTCCCAAGAAAAAACGGCAAGAGGCGTCTTCATTTAGTACCGAAGCCCAAGTCCAGCCGTCCCCGGCGGCCATTACTACTTCGGCTCTAGGCAAGACGGCTACACACTCTAGGTGACATGACACAAGACACCACCCCCCTTCGGCTGGAGTTCAAAGCTCGGTTACTCCACATTCAAATGGTGCGTTTTTGGGAATCTCTCGACGAGACAGTTCCAACGCGGCACCGCCACTCCTTCTACTGTGGACTGTGGGGTATTCCAGCATTGACAATCGGTCCAGGGGGTGTGGTATCTTCGGTCACCTACGGCGGTAGAATAGTTCTCACCTTGCGCGCCCCGGTCAGCGTGGTGGCGGTCACCGCCCCGCCCAGCTTGACCTTCTTCGCCGGCTGGTCGGCCTGCGCCGCGAGCTTGGCCTCGGTCCGCTCCTTGATGCTCGCGTTCAGCGCCTCGCCCACCCGCATGATCATCGCCGCTCCGGCCACGCCTGCGCTCTCGATCACGCCCTTGACGCCGGTGGCCTTGACACCTGCGGGCGTGACGCCGCGGGGCATCTCGTCTCCCTCAAAGGCCGTGAACCACCGCAGGACGTTCTCCATGCCCTCGACAATCGGGGGCTCCGTGCGCTGGTCCAGCGTGAGCAGGAACTCCTTGCCCGGGATGCACACGCGGTAGACGCCCGGGCCGACGCGCGAGGACCGGGACGTCGACACGAGCGGGACGTTGAGGTTCTCGACGGACAGGAAGCCGAAGAAGCCGGCCTCGGGGTTCTCGTCCACCCTCCCCTGGATCACGTTCACCGCCCCCGTGGCGGAAACCCCGCCGCCCGCCGACGGGGACTGCTCCGCCAGGGTACCCACCGCGGTGAGGATGGCCTCGTACGGGACCCCCGCGGGCAGGTCGCCCAGAGGCGGCTGCTTCTCCGGTGGCGGCGGCAGCTTGCTCGTCATGGTTGGTCCTTTTGCTGGGATGATGACGGTGCGCGCTTCTTTTCTTCTGGGAGGGCATTTTGAGGTGGTAGGGCACCGGTGGTGACGAGCAAGCCGAATCGATCGCGTTCGAGGCAAACAAGCCCGAAGAGGTAACGAAAGGGATGGGCGGTTCCTTTGGTCAGTGGAGGGCATCCTGCACGAGCTCTGCCCTGCACGCGAGATAATTGACAGCGAAACACAGCTACCAACGCTACGGACAACGGGTTAGAGGAGACGTGTCCGTCTCGTCAGAATAATCACAACGGACACCCGCGTGTCTGACAAGTATTCCAAGCACCAAAAAAACAACATTTGGATCTGGGGGGCTCTCACTTACTTAGACTTCAACCCCCCGAGGTGATTTTTTCTCGGAAACCTCGTGCCCTCCCGTCGAGTATGCAACGTTATTTTGTTCTTACTTTTCACAAAGAAATGAGAAACCCGGGACGTTCTCGAAAGGGATTGCGGTACGCGTGTGTTTCAACCTTGTTCATGTGGCCCTCTCAACCTTCTCAGAGTCGATGGGTGCTACTCAGTGGCAAAGTTGGGCGGTTCACGCACTCTTTTGAGGACAGAGAGGTAGCGGCACGCGCCAGAGGAGATCTGCGGGCCCTCAATTCAAAACGGCGTTGAAGGTGACTTCAGTTCAACTGCAAGCATGAGCATCTGTCATATACAAGCACGAGCCAAATGCCGTATGTACGCCTTGCAGAAACTATCCAGCTGCGCTAGCCGACATGAAATATGCATAAATGATGCTGTTGTCGACAACATCGGTTCTGCACTCAAAAGTTCTAACTTTGGTGCACCTATCGGTGGGTCGCCTCGTTCAGGTCGAGAAAAAGTTGGAAGTTAAAGTTCACGAAGTCCAGTCCATCTTACAGCAGTAGCCGGGGTGCCACGCGGGAATAGGAAGTGTACTGCCTTTAGCAGGTAACACATGAACAACAGTAGGGCTATCTAGCACAGCAGTGCCGATTGCAGCCACTGCCGTTGCTGTTGGCGAGCGCTGGTTGCAGTGGGTCTCGATGGTCCCATCTTCCGATTCCGAGCAAACCACACGACAACCTTCGCACAAGAGGGCGCTTGGGGGAAACTTCCGAGGAACACGCTGCGGTTCAATACAAAGCACAGCTCCACGAGCCCTTACTCGAGTACCCCCAGCAGCGTCTTGTCTGCTCGGTGCAACAGAGTAGGAACTGCGGTGCACTGCGGCGCGCATATTGATCGTCCGAATTCTCGAAGTTCGGTTCCTGCTCATGTTGTATGTGTGTTGCCCGGCTGGCGTTGCCACACCGCACCAGCCCGCCCATAAAGGGTGGTGGTGAATAAAGGGGACGACGACTGGCGGCCATATGTACCGGCAAATGATGAAACACACAAGCTCAACAGACATGCTATGGTCTCTTGTGGCTCGGCTGCTCGTGGAGGACAGAGCTGCCTTCCATCAAGGTGTTCCTAGTGCTGCTGTAGACGACAACGCAAAGCAATGCCCGACGCAACGTGTTGCAACGTTGCAATCCCCTTCCTCACCTCTGATGACCTAGCTTGGTCGCTCTTGACAGTCTAGTTGGGCTCGAGGCTCCAAGGACGGAAAGTCAGCTCAGCTTCTACAACGGTGTTACGAGAAACCTTTTGTTGAAGGCCGTGTTGGTGACACCGGAGGTGACCGGAGGTGGGGATATGATGCACACTTGGCTGCTCGTTCGGTATTCGAAATTCGAAATCTGACATTCCGACTTGCGGCGAAACTTTGGTTTTGCCAGTGGTTCCAAAGCGATCTATACCGATAAATGGGGGTCGTATGCATACAGATTGAGGAAAAAGAGAGTCAACGGGCGAATGGTGTCAGTTTGAAGTGAGTGAACTTCGGTGTGTACGAGATAGAGGGGGGGGAGAGAGATTCAGATCTATCTCTCTTTCTCTGTTGTCGTTCAGAGCTACAAGCAATGATACTAAATACAACAGAGCTTGCGCTCCATATGTACTCCCCAAACCCAAAAACAATTAATTAAATCAAACACCCCATATTTATGGACACCGTATAGTAGGTTGCATGAAGAAGACACCACACCTCCTTGACCCATGCTCAAAGCTCGATTACTCTACGACCAACAGGATGCCCGAGGCAAACGATACATGTTCGGAAAGCTCTCGACGGGACGGTTCCATGTCCGTCAATTTCGGCACCGTCACTGCTTTTTCTGCCGAGTATTCAAGCTTTGAAAATCGGTCTAGGGGGTGTGATATCTCATGCAACCTACGGTAACTAACTCATATATGTTGTGTGCTACTTTGAGGGGGGACCCCCTGCCTGTTTGGAGGACCATTCTGCCCGCATGGCCCATCTCACATCCCCACATCTACTGGGAGCAGCGGCTAGTGTATTGAGATATGGAAAATGGCAAGCTCAACTCGCACGCCAGGCAAAGAGGAGGAATTGACGTGGTAGGTTGGGGGCGTAGAGGCATTATGAGAACAAAGAAAACGCGTTTGACGCCCGTTCAGTATTCTCTGCGGAGGTCCCGGCCAAGAACGGTACTACAGCGGCATCACAGTTCATAATAACTACTTCGTCATGTAGACGGCAGCGGCAAAAGCATGGCGATCTACAGCAGTATCTCGCTCCCTGCCATTAGCCCACGACCTCTTCTTCAGAGGTGGACAAGGACTGATCCTGACAGCAGTGAAAGGAGCGCGGGGTGCGCCGAAAATGCCGAGAAACTTTTCGAAAACAAATTCTGGTCACTGGACCAAATCAATGCTGCCGAACACCGCCTCTGGTAAAAGACGAAGGGCAACCGCAGAAGCCTTTGGGTTGGCGGGAAAAACCGGGAAGCGGATGCGGTTTTAGCGCAACACTTCCCCGATTGCTAGAAAGGCAGCAGACACCCGGAACGGCATGTTGTCAGGTGAAAAGAAGGACCAACACGTCGTCTCAGGTCTATTCGAGGGTAGCGTACGAGGCATAACAGCAGTGCTATCGGGATCCATCCAATACGCTCCATACTGCCGCCATCGCCAATCGGTAAGAAACAGCCCCCGAAAATCCTGCGATTATTCCTTCCGCTCCTCGCTCCGAGCGACACCCGAGGTCCACATCAGGTCCACGGCTGGTGGATGGCAGCATGTTTGCTCCCAGATTTCCATCTCGTCCAGGTGAAATGATGACGACGGGGCATCCCGCACGCTCTAGACCGTACTCTAGGGCGCTCCCGCTCCCGCTGTGTCGCGGGACGTTGTCATCCCACGTTTTCTGTCGCGGATTATCAACCCGTGATTGTTGCGGTTGTGGGAAACCGTCGTCGGCCGGCTCGGTGTGAACGGCGGTGCCTGAGTTGTTTGATGCAGGAGATGCGTCCGTCATCGTTCGGTGAATTTGGGCGGCAGTTGGGACCACCGCTCGCAACCCCTGGTTGCTGAACCCTGAGGGGTTGTAGACGACAGCATCGTACCCCCCCTCGCAAAGTCGGTCCAACAGCTCATCTTCTCTGTTCCCATCGTATCATTTACGATCAACAAAGACGGGCACAAGTACGAAGGAATCAGTTTCTATGCGTGCAGCAGCCCGGGGTATTGCCGAAAAACAAACATTACACGTACGACATGCAAATAAGGAAAAAACTCTCCTTGCGTGTCATGGCCAATGGGCCCAGCCTCTAGCGCTTCATAATCATACCCCAACAGTACGGTCTTAAACCTCGCCCGACATCACGGCTTCCTTTGCATGAAGCCTACTGGGAAAGGGGCGCAGGAAAACCGTAGTCCGTTCACGAGGAACTGCATGCCAGAGGGTACTACGCAACAATGTGGAATATTGAATAGTTGCACTTGGCATGAACATATGTAAAGTGAAAAGAAATCCATATCATGCCGACACACTCCGCCTAAACCAACAAGCATGAATTCATTGTCAAAGTGATCACCATGCCCTGCTTCACATCTCGAGCCGGGCAATGAACAAAGCACCTTCCGATTTCAGTGTGGGGGAGGTTGACCGAGGCGCGAGCAACCTACTGCCAATAGAGGCGCTCGCCTACGCGGCACTCTCTGGCCGTTACGGGGAATAGGTTTATGGCTTTACCCTTCGCCTGCTGTATCAGTCGGCTGCCTCCTAGATACTACTTTGTGTGTTGCAGGGATTACGCACCGGTTCGAAGTGCAGACAGTCAGCGACAGGTTGAACTCTTGGGCGGCGTCCTCCATTGAACTCGCGACGACTCCCTTCTCCGAACCAAAACAAGTGAAATTGCACGCGATCAGAACAAGTACGACGCAAAGGATGGGACAGGATATGAGACAACGGTTTGGTCGACATGGAGTTGAGGGCGTCAAGGGTGGCCATGGGTGAAACTCCTGAGAGGCGTGTGGGAATGACTTTTCGTAGCGTCCCGTCGCTCCGAAAACAAATACACTCATGCTATAAAAAAAACAGAAGCTCACAGGGATATTACACCGGGTCACCCAAGAGTATCGTTGCCGCCGTGTTGGGACCAGGCGACAAGGCGCGTTCATTTCATTGAGGCGTTGCAAGGCTGAATCTTTCAATGCTCTTTCCGTCAAAATATTGTCTGCACTGGAGGAGGTGCTTCACGCACGAACAAAACTACTGCCAAAAGAGGGTGGGGCACTGCTGTATCGCGAGCGCACGTGACTGTTCTTGACCCTCACTTCGTTCACTCACCCGCGGTTCTCCGGTGCTGGCTAGTGTCCCAGCAATAAAACACGCCGGTCCGTTTAGCACCAGGACCGGCCTTCTTGCTCTTAGCCCACTTGAGTTCTTTCGCTCTTCGGTCTCCAGGTACCCTTTGACCAACGGCGTGGACCAGTCATCATCCATCGGGATTTCTTCGTCGCGCTGTCCGTGGAGCCCCTCGAATTTTCCGGGGTGATCAGCCAGCGTGAGCCGGGGCTGCGATTCTTGGAACGCGGCGGGGCTTTCTTCTCTCTCGGCTTGGGCATCCCGCCGGGACCCTTAGTATTGCGCGTACAAAAAAACACAACATATCAAGGTGTCATAGGTGTCTGTGCACGCGCAAAGGGCTAAGAGCAAGCATGCGCGTGAGGGAGTTCACAACGCACAGCTTGTACAACAAACCCCGCTCCATGTAAGAAACAAGCTCTCAACTGCGAATACCAAGGTGATAATAGCGGCCTTTCGGGGGTCCAAAGTTTCTTTGGATTATTTTTTGTCGATATCCATTTTTGGGTAGCTGGCCAGTGACCACGGAAGGTGTCTGCGTAAGTTGTGCGGGTGTGGCTATTACAGCAGTAGAGGTGCCGAGCAGAGGTGAGCAGAGGTCGCAACGGTTGAAGGCAACAACTGAAACATCGCACCTGAGGCGGCACGATCAGGAGGAGGGCTGGGGATGGTATCGAAGTCAGGATCGCCCAAGTCTCCCACAAAGCCAGATATGTCCTTGTTCAGGTCAGCGATATCGTGGACCGAAATTGCCGCGCTGCCGCGGTCGTCTCCTTCTGATGCACCCCCCTTGCCCCATCTCGGTGGCGTTGCAGTCGCGATCGATCGGCGGCGGACGAAATAACAAGTTCCGCCGCGTTTGGCTAAAACACTACTTCTGGTGGTGTTGAACGGCAACCCAATCCAGCGACGCACAGCCCTGTCCGTTGGGACGGGGTGTTTGCAAGCAGCCAGAGCCTTCGCCAACGGCTTTCTCATTGGGTAAACTGCTGTTTATATTTTGTTGATGCTCTTTACTCGTCTTTACCACAGCTCTCCGATCTCCGATTTCGTAGATGCTGCAATCCACCGCGCCCCCCACGCCATCGAGCATCGAGGCAACAAGCAAGCCCAAGCCAGTGCCGCATGTGGGATGAGCTGCGCAACTGGGGCACACGACAACTCCGAAGGATGGAGGCTGATCTTGTCAAAAACCAGGAATGCTGCAGGCAGAGGTGGTAGCAACAGCAGGAAGCGGGACCTGAGGTCATGTCTGTGAGTGCCGAGCAATATTTGAATTGGGTACAGCGGTAGGCATGCAGCGGTAGCACCGCCTGGTGTACACAGGACTGTGTGAGGTAACCCTGGCTGGTGTTGAGGCAGTAGTTGCATGTGCCCTTTGTTTTGTGCCGAGCATAAATGATCTCAACGGACACGTGCTGGCAAGGTTGCCATTGGGAGCCTTTCCATTCACCACGTGACACACAACAACGCGCTTCTGGAAAGAGAGCCAGCGAAATGCCGAGGAAAACATGTTCTTGAGAACCGCAGAAATCGCCAGCGCTTGAATATGGTGCCAGCAGGTATCTACACGCGACAACATCGAAAAAGATGATTGCTACTTGTGTGCACATGAAGCCGAACGCGGGTGTTGCACCCTTGGCTTCCCCTCAATGCCCGCATGCAAGCTGTACCGAGCTGTAGTCTAGACTCGTACACCCGGAGATGCTGACATCGCTGACCCCTTCTGTCTGGTGGAGGCCGAGGGCGTGTGGAGACACGGACCCCCCCCCCCCCCCCCCCCTCAAGGTTTTCAAACAACGATTGCTGCAACCAGTTAGTTAAAACCTCACTACTGCTGTAGTACATTAGAAATCAAGTCGGCGACGTTTGCGCGATCTCTTGTTGCTTCTACGCCCCCCATTGACCCCCCGGCGGACAACCGCACCACCTCATTGGCGAATACCACGCGGCAGGTGGCTGAGAGACCACGATCCCTGTACGGTAGATGGCTTGCTCGAGGCTGCTCTCGTTGGAGACGACAAGAAGACGAGGCTCGCGGCGGCGGGAACGCTTTTGGCCGTGACTGATGCTCTAGAAAAGGTGGGCACAAATCAGATGTCTTGATCTCCGGAGTGTGCCCCTCGCCCAAAAGCCGATCCCATGTGAAAATATACGCACCCATTACTTGTTCGCTTTTTGCCGAACACCCTTCCCTTGGCTCGCGAATGCTTCGGCAGGCGTTGTGGCCGATCGAGAAGGGCGGGCTATCTCCCGCTCGCGGGGCGACTACTAGGCCGGGACCGCCATCGTCGGTGAGACAAGTCGCCGCCGCGGCGAGGAGCGCCAGCGACGAGCTACGGGTGCTTAGCGGGCTCGCGGTGTCTCTTGCTGAGCGCTTCGTGCCGCTGCTGACGGCAATCGCCGAAGGCATACCACCACCACCATCACGCGTACTCCCACCACAACAGCAGAGCAAAGCCTCTTCGACAGGGGTGCAGGTGGAGGCGGCGACAGCGGCGGCGGGGGCTGGGGATAGAACGCCCTCGCCAACGGCGGCAGTTGCGAAGACCACGACTGGGACGGCGGCGGCTGCTGCCCGCCCCACCGCCCTTGCCTGCTTCGCTGCTGAGTGCGCCCTCGCGCTGACGTCGGCGTGTGCGTTAGTGGCGTCGGCGGTGGCGTCGTCTACCGGCCCGGCGACACCTGAGGCCGCGGGCGCGACAGGACCGGCAGCAACACCGGTGCCCTTATCTGCGGCAACGACAGCAGCCGGAGGCGGACATACGGACGAGGGCAGCTGCGGCGAGAAGGGGGCGGAGGTTGCACCAGTAGTCGAAGCGGATGATATCTACCGAGATAGTGGGAGGGGAGAAACCTCTCCTGCGAGACAGGCAGCGCTCGCGAGGTCGCGAGGTGGGCCGGTGCGGGCGACGGATGGTGAAGAGGAGGCAGGAAAGAAGGGGGCGGGGGAGGAAGAGAGAGAGCAGACGAGGGCGGCGATTGCGAAGGAGCGGGGGGCGGCAGAGGAGCCGCAGGGCCGGTGGCGAGCGTTGAGAGTGCTGTCCGAGCTCTTGCCCTCGTCCACAATCCCCCTCCTTGTTTTGGCGGAAGCGTGGCTCGGCGGGGTGGCGGAGGAGGGTGCGTCCGTTGGCGCAGTCGGCAGTGGAAGCGGCCGCGGCAACGGTGGTAGTAACGACAGAGATCTCTACAACAGGCAACCTGGTTCCGATGGACGCGGCCCTGGCGGTGTCCGAGCAACGTCTCGCGGCGAAAACGCCTACAGTGGGGTTTCGGTTTCTTGGGACAGTAGAAGTGGTTGGTCTGAAGCGGGCCGCAGCGCGCGCCTGCCCTTCGGCGACGTCCGAGGCGCGGTCGCGGGAGAGGGGGGGAGGGGGCTCGCGGCGACGGCGGTGCGCGATCTAGTCGCGGTTCTTGTGTCGGTGGTGAACGTGGCCAGAAGGTTGGAGGAGCGAGAGGCGGAGAAAAGGCGTGTGCTTGAGAGAGACGGGCTGGAAGAAAGTGAGACGCGTGGGCAGGAGTGTTCTATGGTCATAGCCGCAGCACTAAATAGCTGCCCCAGGGATTGAAGAGCGCGACATGCCTGGGGTGGTCTATCTTGGTGTGCGGGCAGCAGCTTCGTCAGAGGCCGAAAGAGAAAAGAACGTTTGACTCAAGACTTTTGCTGACTAATGATTGAGAGACATGAGGGAGACGAGAGGGTCCTCGCTCGTCTTGCCTATCGTGCCCAAATTAACATCCACGTAGCCCCCGGAGGTCCCGAAGATCACTACTCTGCCGAACACCCCCAAACTGTCGTAGTCTATCAGCTTTATTGCATTCCGCCCTCAACGCTGCCATTTTTTCTGCAGTCAAAACGAGATTGCTTACATTGGCACCAAGACTGCGTGCTGGCTACCATGCACCCGCGGCTCTGTTCGTACAATCGTAGGTTTGGGCGGGAGTGGGGCAGGGCAGGGCAGGGCAGGACAGGCCGTTCGCGCCACGAAGAACCAAACACAAAAAGGGTCATGAACTAAATAGGGAAACCTGGAGGCGTGCTCTTAGATACTCCGAAACAGCAGTTGTATATTTCCCCGGCGTATTGTCCCGCTCCGATGCAGCCAACCCGATGAGGCAAGTCACGAATGACCATAGAATCGTAATGGTGCGGTTTTTCAGATTCAACGCCAATGGAATTCCATCCAAGCCGCCTCTCCCATCCTTTTGGTTCATTTTCTAGGCGAAATCTCATCGCCTAGACATGGACGAGATGTTGTACTAGGCGGGATGGTCAAGCACGCAGCTTGGCACCTGGCGAGGACGATGCCGTCGATTTTGAGCAGCCGTCGTTGGCCTACAGCGCAGCTCAAAGGCGGCGGCGGCGGCGGGTCGGCGGCAGGAGGAAGAAGGGGAGGGGGGGGCGTGAGATCGGAGCTGCTGGAGTTGGTTGGAGAGCTCCGCGCGTGCGATCCAAGGGTGCTCGAGATGGCCGGCATTGAGGTGAAACACGTTCGATATGCCCGGCCTCTCTGCTGCGATTTTTTGGAGAAACCAGCCCTGCCCTCTGCTTAGCAAGTTGATGCCTGCCAGAACCTCACGCTTGTGAATACGTTAGATGTTCTCTTCGCTGCCTGATGACCCGGTGTATGCCGGGGCGCGGTTGCACCCCCGCCGCTCATTTGCGCGTCTACTGTATTGGGAGTCTCCCCAATGATCACACACACCGCGTCCAGCAGCAACACATTCGAGCTGCAAAGCGTCTTGGTCCTTCGTTGGGAGAAGATCGCAATAGATACATAGGTAACTGTCTTTGGTGCCGGCGTGGTCCTGTATCCGTCGCTTACGCCACCCTTAAGACTTTGTCGCGGTCGCTTCGCTTCCTAGAGGGGGCAGTCAAACGCAACGATACTGGCCAGTAGACAACGAAGGGCGATGGGCTACACTGCTTGCTGCACCCCATCAAGCGCGTGTGTCCAAGGGTGCTGCTTCCTGCCAGTAACGTGGCACCCCATCAAGAACGTGTGCGTGCTCTGATCCCTCTTCCACGTCGCGTGCCCCCCCGCCCCTCAACCAATCCACCAGCCTCCCGAGGGTGTAGAGGAGGGACGGTGGCTTACCCTTCGTAACCTCTGCATCTGCGTCGGTGGGGCAAGGACCAAGGACGTGTTTCGTGCAGGCGTAGTCGGGGGGCGCGCGGATGGGGACGATGGTGGTGGTGACGGGGAGGGTGGCGGTGACTTGGTGGGAGCTTTGCAGGAGGCTTTGATCCGTTCGTTTTGCGGTTCCAAGCCCGAGGCACAGGTATCGGGTTTGTTTCTTCAGGTCTTTTTGTTTGCTGCTGCTGCTGCTGCTGCTGCTGCTGCTGTAAGTTGTGTTTGTCTTCGATGCTGTTGTAACTATCGACGGAGCTGTCGAAGGGGTGCTGGTTTGGTTGCTCATTTGGAGAAGGCGGGGGAGCCCCACAGGCGTGCCCTCAAGTCCAGAGCCAATCACCCCCCGGGCTCTGGGACCCCCCCTCCCTGTCTCTAAACTCCAACGTATCCTCGGAAGTTGCATGTTTCAAGATGCTCGTAATGGAAATTGCTTGTTTCACTTGCAAAAGTTTGAGATAGAATGACGTACGGGCCCTGGGTTCATTTTCGTCGAAAAAAATGGGCGGTAGGTTCTTGTTAATGTGAAGACAACAAAAATGGGCGTAGCTACAGCACTTCTCAGCCTTGATCCCCCTCCCCCGTTCCTGGAGGGGGTTTGGCTCTTACCCAGGCGGTTGCGTCGTGCCTTCTCCCTCCTCTGGTCGCTCCAAGTAGCTGAAATCATCATGGCCATGTCCGCACGTACCCCCCAACCCCCTGATGCACCCCTATTCTCCAACTCTGTTGACCCTGTTCTCACCGTCTCACCAGAAGCTTGCTTCTTCGGCTCTGGTATGGGTCATGTCTGCAGCGTTGGAGGAGAACAAGGACAAGTCCGGGTCGTTGGGGCCCACGAAGGACCGCCTTGATGTCGGCCCGCTGTTGGGGCTGTTGGGCCAAGCGGGGGAGGGGGGTGGCGATAGCGGTGCTTCGGATGCGGTGTGCTTGGTATTGACGGGGTTGGCGGTGAACTACCCCTTGCTCGTCGTGCCGAAGGTGGGGGTGTGTGGTCCGCGGGCAGCAAGGCGGGAGGCTGTTGTTGTTGTTGTAACTGTTTTCGTAGAAGCGTCCCTCAAGTCTGCTGGAAATACAACTGGCGCCGAAAACTCTTGTTGCCCTTCTGATTTCGCCCTCCCCTAATGTCGTCTTTGCCCCCCCTTGGCGTGGGACCACGACCTCGATTTGTGGCTGACGTTTGACCTACATGCACGCCTTCACAGACGAGCTCGAATTGTTTCAGATGGTTAAAACCATTCGAACATCTCAACGACCTCAAGATCGATTTGCTTGGGATGGTTCGACTTCACAAACCTTGTTACGTACTGTGTTCTACATTTCTTGCTTTTTTCATCGGCACCGCCTCGCTTCGTGACCGAAAAGGTGCTGCGAGCTGCTACTGGAGACCCAGGCCCCGCCGCCGATACGCCCCCCGGGGATGCATCTGGGGCGTCCCCTGGTTGGTCCGCAGCTGCTCGGTTGCGGCTCACCGTGATTCTCGCAGGTACGGCAGTACTGCGGTCTACGTTTACGCATTCCCCCTGCCCGTTTTCTCGTACGCTTTTTCATGTTGTACGTTATCGTCCGGCGAGAAATAAGGAAGGTTTCATCAGCTTTTTCGCCTCGACGTCTCTCGTGCGATTGGGTTCTAACGTCGTTCGCCGCTTTCCTTCGTTTCTGCGCGTGCGGCCGCGCCAGACGCCCTCCGTTGCACAGATGGCGGTCGCCTTGGGCATGTGCGTTTTTCAGCCCGCGACGAAGATGGTGGCATTTCTCCGTTCGACGGCGTGGGAGAACACCTTATCCAATGGTGAGCATATCCATGAAAAACTGCGCCCCCCTTCCCCGAAAAATAGCCAAAGGAGGGGGGCGGACCGATGCTAATTCACACTTGCCGGTGGTCCTTTTCTTCTTCAAGATTTGACATTATTTGGATGGAAAGGCCTGGACCATTGGTACAATAATCTGACGAAGGAAAATGGGTGACAGATAGTTGCGAGACACAGAATGCCCTCGTTGTGCTGCAGGCACACTCTCGAATGTCTGATTGCTACCAGTCGCTGCATCCGGCCTCTGGCCATCTTCAGACACAACTATAGTACCTATACTCCCCGTACCGCGCCGGAACCACAACCTTGACCTTTCTGCATGATGCAGATGGCGCTCTTTCTTGGCGGTGACCGTCCGTGACAAACTTGCAATGCTCTGCTGGTAGTACGATACCATCAGCCTTGAGACGAAGGGGGTGCGCATTCACCAGAGAAGTGGCCTCGAATTCTGTTCTCTCTGTGGATGTTGTCGAATCCCACTTGACATTCCACTGCGGCAGGCGACGGTTGACAGCACCCCAAGTTGTTTTTGCCGAATGCCCACAAAACACGGGGTACACCAAGCACGTTCTCGTGATGAGAAAAGAGTCTGCTTCGGTTGAGACTAGAGATGGACACCGATGACGAGAACACCCTTCTGTCGCGTTCTTCGCAGTCTAGCAACCGTCCTACACCATCACAATACGAAACCAGAGAACTTCAAAAGCCGGTTTTCGGTTTCTTTTTCAGTTTCGGTTTTTCGGTTTCGATACCGTCTCCTCGAGATCTTGCTTTGACGGCCTCACGTCTTCCTCACGATCTCACTCCACCCTCACCCCTCCACGCTACTGTACCCCTCTACCCTGAACCCTATGCAGTCTCGGCAGCGACGACTTGCGGCTGCGGAACGTTGCCTCCGAAGGCCTCGTTTCCTTGGACCCGGGGTGGGTGGTCCCCAGGCTGTGCCGGCGGCTGTCGGAGCGGGAGGCGGGGGAGGAAGGCACCACCGGACGGCGGCAAGACGGCGGCGGCGACGGAGTCTACGACGGCATCGGAGGGTCTGGATGGGAATCACGCGGAAGGTGAGGTGTACACGAAAGCGCCCACGCATCTGCGGTGGGGCATCAATCCGCGTGGACACGTATTTCTGAAAGGGCCAGCTGAAATGCAGACGAAGCCCTGTATTATGGAACCAAATTGTCTTTTTCGATAGCCGTAGGCCAGTTGCTTTCCTTTGCTTTTTCACTACCGCGGTTGCACCTCTGCTACCCTATCTCACGACCACCACCCTAGCCCTAACCCCGGCGTTAGCCCTCTTCCGCCCCCATGCAGCTCCGAACCATAACTCGGACAACGCAATAACAAGGCAGAGGGCTGGTATCCAGTCTTATTTACTTGAAGGCCACGTTGTCCAGCATTTCATCTTGATGGCTTTTCCCATCGCCGGAAGGTGCTTCTTCTTAGCCGCCCTCCCCCCCCACCATATTTACCGTATCGCGGTTACCTTTCTCTCCTTCCCGGCCCCTCGCCCCTGCGCTAGATCTGCCGCCCTCCAGGCCCTTGGAAACCTCATCGTGCATGGAATCGACCCACCGGATGCCCTCTCCGCCTTGCTGGACTCCCTCCGAAACGACCCGCCTCCCGAACCTATTGGAAACCTTGCCGAAGGGGGCGGCGGGGGTGGAGGCAGCGACAGCGGTGTTGTTGGCAGCGATGACAGGAAGTCGAAAGGTTTGGTGGGCCGCGTGATGGGGTCGCTGCCCCTCTGGGCCCGTAGGCTCAAGAAGCGCTCGGACGCCGTCCATGAGCCGGAGGAAGCTCTCGTTGTCTCGAGGCAAGCCGGCCGTAGTCCTGCCGGTGGTCCTACGGGAGTGGTTGTCGCTGCTGAGGAGGAGGACGAGGAGGACGAGGAAGCCGATGCAACACTGACTACGGCGTGGGTAGTCGCTTCGCCAACCCTATACGGCGAATGCCTGGAGGTCGCGGCGATCAAGGCCCTAGCGGCACCCGGGGAGCCTTTGCCCGTGCGCTTCTTCGCTGCCCTTGCTGCTGCTAGTAGTGCGAGTGGTGGCGGTGTTGACAACGCCACCGGCGCTGATGACAAGGTCGATGGTAGAACCAGCGCGGCTGCCGCTTCAGTGGTTCCAACAGACGTTGCCGAGGACATTTCAACGGTTACGTTGTCCCCAACGGATACGCCAGCTTCCACGGAAACATCGGCAGCAGGAACACCTGTTACTTGCACGGGGGAGGAACATCAGTCGGGGTTGCTCAGCGCGGAGAGTGTAGCAACGGGGGCAAGAACGGCCGTGGGGGGCGAGGCAAGGGCAGGAAGAAGACGGAAAAGGAGTGGGGGGTGCTCCAAGAGGAGGAGGAGGAGTACCCTTGCGGGGGTGCTGCAGCTCGTTCGCGGAAGGATGACCGGCCAAGCGCGCTTGTCGGAAGACCTTCTGGGAGACGAGGTAACGCTGGTGGTGGTTCGTACTAGCTGCTGTAGGGTACGCGTAGTGTTCGCGTTCATCTCTGTCGGGGGGAGGGGGGAATCGCACACCCCGGACCATCTTGTTGGTCTGCTGGCGGCTGCTTTTGAGTGATTGGCTCTGGGTCGCGTTGGCACCTCATTCCTACCGGCACAACGAGCTTGTGCGAAGCGATAAGTACAAGTATCGGGGAAAGGGGAGGACGGGTTAGTTGCTCTCCTTCTCAACAGTCTGCGGGCAATCGGGTGTGGTTCACGAAAGAGTCGCTTGGCCGCCGACGCTGCTTTCAAAGCAAGCCAAATTGGTTTTTCGAGACTAAACGTTTATGTGGGTATGTTTCCCTCACTTAGCTCTCGCACGCTGCCCACGATTTCTCCGAAACTTTATCCCCGGCCCCCTTGGCAGAGCCAGGAGGCCTCCGAGACGGTGAGGGCCCTGCTGTTCTGCCGCCTCACCCCGCTGCTCATCCTCAACGCGCTGCCCCCGGCCGCCCTGCTGTCGGAGGACCAGCAGGAGCAAGCAATGTCCATGGAGTTCTCCAAGGAAGATTTGCATGGTTGTGGAGTAGGGTCCCGTCGCCATGGGTCTCCAGTCGCCGGCGGTAGTGAACCGACAAAAGGGGGTCCTCCTCCGTGCGGGTTGGGGGCGTGTCTGGAGGAAATACGGGCCCTCCTTCTGGAGAGGACGGAGCAGCTGTACGAGTATGACCAGGTTTGACGTATTTTTGGATTTCGGCACATACCACCGCCCCCTTCAGAGGGATTCCTGCAAACATTCCTGTCGGTTTTCCACGACACGAGGGAGGACAAGAAGGGTTGGGGAGGGGCTGTGGATAGCACACCAATGCTTTGAGGGTGTCTTCTCGTGGGGAAAGGAAGTCGGTGCCGAACATGACTATGGGTACAGCTTTCGCAAAGGCCGTGTTGAATTGTTTTGGATTGTTTCCGGGGAATTGTTGGCCTTCGGCACCAGAGTCGTTCGCTACTGGGAGGAGGGGTTTGCATGTCGTTGTGCGTGTATTGCTACTACTTGCTGCGCTTCTCGCCAATGGTGTAACTCGGCCGGATTGCAATCGAACCTATGGTGAACTCCGTCGAAACGATCTCCACCGCCTGTTCGTCTACGTATGGTGAATCTCCCACCTTTGTTCATCGAAAAAATCGAAAACACCTTTTTATCGCCGGCCGCGTTCGCGGTTTCGACAAATGCAATTCCCAGCAATTCCCCAGCAATTTCCCGACGCTCCAGCAGGCCTCCGAGAACGGCATGAATAATGAACGAGAAGTCCAACATCAAATGGGCGAAAACCGATGAAATTAGTCACATTATACCCCGCCAACCGGACCCTTGGGTCCAACATGCTGCTCGTTGGGTCCAACGTGCTGCCCCGCTGTGCAACGGTCCATTCGACTAGCCCCGAATTTCTCGATTCTTTGCACAAGGGGGGCTCTCTGCCTTCCACCCTGAGATGTTAAGCCGAAAATATTTGTTTGAGTGAATTTCCGTGTCGGGAAGCCCCCCCTGAGGTTGCCCTCTAGGCATACGTTAGAACTATTTCCACCCAACATACGGCAAGGAGTGGCTCTCACGTTACCCCTGCCTGGCAGTAGTAGTGACGAACTACTTTTCGCCCAGGATGCCCTCACAAGAACCCTGCTATCGGCCGTCTGTCCCCCCCGCAGATCCAAAGAATGTCCGCGGAAGTTTCCGGGATTCTTCCTCCTCGCCTCGTCCTTCCCGGTGTTGTGTCGAGAATATTCCACTTCTGCGAGTCCGTAGAGGGGTCGCCGTCGGAGGATCCTGGTGCTGTACACCAAGGGGATGATATTGTCGAGTCCCCGGGTACCCTCGCTTCGGTGAGATTTTGCGAGTGGAATTGTTGCTGCTGCTACTGCTGCCGTGGCTGTGGCTGCTAAATGGTACAGTTTCCAGGGGGAGTTGGTTCGATTCGCCAGGTGGTGGTGGTGGGGGTGCGGTGGGGGTCGGTGTTGTCCTTGTCGGTGTTGATGTTGTCGGTGTCAGTGGGGGTGTTGCTGATATTCTTCGTCGATTTATGTTCTCGGCAAAACGAGTTGCGTCCATGTTGATGCGTTTTTTTGTTTCCCCTCTCCGTTGAATGGCAGAGGGCGCTCTTCACAGCTTGCCACGCGGCCACGAGCCACGGGGCTTCGGTGGGGCCTTGGCTAGCACCGCTTCTTTCGGCCATCGTCCGAGTCGCGCTGCTCCCGGTGACGTCGTGAGTTTTATTGGTGGAATCAGCTGTTGTTGGTGTTGTTATCGTCACTATCGTTGTCGTCATCGTTGTTGTTGTGTGCGTGCGGTAAGCGGTTTGAACCAGTAGCACTCCCCTATCGAACAAACAAGACTTTGTCCCACCGTGCCTGTCTTGGACTTGGGCCTACTTTTTTGGCAGGGACGCGGACGACGACGTGGCACAGGTCCAGAAAGCGGCGATGAACTGCCTTGCGGTTCTCCTCCAATCCTCGGCGCAAGCAACCGCCGCCACCAGCGCGAAAATTGATCTCGCTTCGAAGGCCTTCGAATGGGAGATCACTAGTTCTGTCGTCCCAGAAACGGGGATGATATCGTCAGACGCCGTCCCATACGCGATCTTTTCGCCAATGGAGATCGGAGACGTTCCCGAGCTCGCAGGGAGCGTGGCGGTCGGGGGCGTGCTGCCCGAACGATTCCGCGGTGGGGATGAAGGGTCTTGGCTTGACAAGTCATTGAAGGAGGCCTTCCGACGAGAGGGGAGACAGGAAAACGGAGAGAAAGTGGGGGCGGAAGGGGGGAGTGATGAGGGTGGCAGCGGCAGCGGTGGTGGACGGGTTCCGGCATTGCCGGCACAGGTGCGCGCATGTCTACCACTCCGTTACGTGCCGGGTGACCCAAGCCCGATGTCTGTGGGTTGGTGCGTTGGTTCTTCATGGGTTACATGGAGACTTTGCCTTGCCGGTAGGGTGAGCGGGAGGGATGTGGAGGATGTTGTAGGTTACCGCAACTACGATAGAATCCCTAACGGCGCGGGGTTGTGTTCAGATTTCAACGACACCTACACTTTCAGTGGTAGACGCCCGAAATTGTCAATTTTGGTTTAAGGACATAAGTTTTTAACCGTCTCTCCAGACCATGGGTCTCCGCGGTTTCGCACCCTCGGTCATGACAATCTTCATATTTCCAGTTCTCACCCCCCGACCGCAATACCTCTTGAAACGACGACTTCATGGCAGTTGCGCATGTGCTTCGCGAATTCCGCGGTGACGGTGGCGAGGCGGTGCCCGCCGGAGTCCCTGCCGGCTCTTTGCAGCCGCGGGAATCTTCTGGGAACGTTCCTGACGGGGGCGTCTCGTGGCAGCGGCCTGCTTCGGGCGGCTTGCCTACAGGTTGGCGGGCGCGGGGCGGGAAATGGGGGTAGGGCGTACCACAATGGATACATGCTCATGGGTGGCAAACGTGTTGTTCGTTCCCGGAATATCCTGCCGCTGGCTAAACTACAGCCGCGAGGAACATTCTTCGCGAGCGTCATCTACAGATTCGAGCACAACGTCCATCGTTGCCGAATAAGTACACATCGTTCAGAACATTTGTATTCTAGGCAATGCAGTCTGCAACAATCATGCCACCGCCGTACCACCTGTGGCAGGAGTGGGCGTGGGTGTTTGTCGTTTTGCTTCTACCAGGAAATATCTCCGAGCGGAGCAAGCTTTCCCAGTTCACGTATCTTCTACGGGCACAAACCGGTGATACAGTTGTGATTCACCGTCGCTGACGACCGGAATCACTGAAATATAGGATATGTAGGCGTTGCTTGATTCCGTGAAACGAACGTGAAGGGCTCGAAGTCAAGGTTTATGGTAGGGTTACATACAGGGTTGGGTCGATCGCAGCATGAGGTTGTCGGTAAAGGGCATCTCTTGAGCGTCCCTCAATCGGAAGCGAACCGAAAACAAGGCGGGTTTTCCTCTCGAGATGTGTGTGACGCACTCTCGTACCTGCATGGGGAGCAAGGAAACATTGTCGAGCTGGGCTCACAGGTTTTGCTCGGACGTCTTTTTTTGTGGCATCCCTCATCGAAATGAAAGTATTCGCCTCTCATCCCCCGTTTGCCTATGCCTTTGTGTGTAGTTCTATGCCCCAATAGTTATCTAAACCGACCCCTGGGTATTCGGGTGTCGTCACGTCCCCGCCTTGATCGTGTACTCCCTTTCACACGTTTGCGTCAGGCCTTGTTCGCGCTCGTGTACCGGACAAAGAACGTGTTTGAAGGCGGCGCCATCAGCGGCAGCGGCAGCCGGGTCGACGTGAGCTGCACGTGCGATGGCGTCATGCAGGTGGCGTGCGATGCGCTCGGAAAGGATCAGCACCCGGAGGTATGTGACAGCAGGCCAGCTACCGCGGAAGCACGCCAAGCTCCCTGGTTGTATTTGTCGCTACATCGAAGCGCCGCGTTTTTGACGACTTTATGTTGGTCTTTTTAACACAGTTTCTTGGTCAGGTGCCATTTGGTCTGTCTTCGTCCGCTTCTGCTGCAACTACCATAGCTAATCCGAACGTTTTTCGCTCCTGAAACCCGTGTACAGGGTCGTGCACAAGTCCCTGCCTCCCTCTCCCTCCCCTCCCGCCGCCTTTGCCCAATCATCCTAGCCACCAACGCGTTGGATTCAAACCTGCCCGTCTACTTCTTGCAAAAACAGGTCCGCGTATCTGGGCTGAAGCTCCTTCTTGGCGTAGTGGCCGCTGGAGCTTCCCCGAGCGCTGCGGCGGCAAAAACTTCACCGGTCCCATCACGGGACCCCCACGAACAACCCCCCACCTTCATCTCCGATGCTGGTGGTATCGGGAATGACAGAGGTATCACCGAAATTGGCGGTGGTGGTGGTCCCGGTCGTGGTGTTGATGATGGCGTTGGTGATGTCGGCCGTGTTCGGGGTGATGGGGGTGATGGGGGTGTCGGTGCTGGCGTCAATAGGGCTACCTCCGGCGGAATTCCGAGCGGGACCGAGATCGCCATCAGCTTGAGCGGTTCAAGGGAGAGAGGGACAGCAGGGATACGGGAAGCGAAAACCTTGATGATGCCAGACCGGCATTGCGACAAAAGTGATACCCTCGCCACCGCCGCCGGCGCCGGCGCCTCCACCGGAGGAAGCGTCTTGTCCCCAGCGGTGATGTCGAGGGCGAAACGCCTGCTGATAGGGCTTTCGAACATCGACGAAAGCGCAGAGGTTAGGAAACTGGCGTCGCAGGCTCTTGCGGCATTGGGAGGATCTTCCACCTCGTGACGTTTCCTTGAGCCATTGGGGCTGCCCAATGCTGGGCCGACTCGAAAGGGTATGGAACGCAATGACTGATGTTAGTTCCATTGCGTTCCGCGCATGCGTGCGTATGCTGAACACGCTTGTTAACATGACTATGTGATTAGTTGTGTAGGTATTTCATTATCGTACACGTTCTGCACCTACCGCCGTGGGCGGAGTTCCATTCATTCGGTATTGTCCGACGCGGCAGTGACGAAAACACAGATATGCTAAAAACAGCCCGGAACGTTCCGATTCGTGCGTTTTCGACGACTTCGTTCGTTTCCGCCCGCCCGATGCCGCAACATATCAAGAACGCATGGTATAGCAGAGCTGTTCCAAGAAGTAGAAACATATTCGAAGACCAGATCACAACGGGGCTATAGTGGTGGTTTCTGTCATCGCTGGCGGCTGTGTCCTCCCTGGTCATCCACGGCTTGAACGAGTATACGCGGTATCTCTGCCAGAATGTCGCATTTCCTTGCAAGAAGGTCTAACGATATTTTCGGAGGGTATCCCTTTTTGGTTGGCTCCACGCCAGCTCTATTCCCCCTCCCCAATCTCCCATCATGCGTCCACCCCCATCACACGCAGCGCATGAAAACACCCTAGAACGGGAATCTGGTTGTAGCACCGGAAGTTTGGCGTGCCCGTGCGTGCCTGTTGTCACACACAAGCCGCGGTTGCATCAAGTTTGTGTCACAGCCTCCGACACATGAAGCATCCTCCTTCCACCCAACGCGTTGGGGCCGGCAGGCACGACGAATGCAACAACAGTGGTGGTGGTGATGGGAGCTCAAACGAGTCTGTCGTTCTCCTCGGTACATTATCCGGGGGTGGCGGCTACCGCTTTAAACTGAGCCCCCCCGCACACGATAGCAAAGGATTCCCCTGCCCCCCAAGAGGCTTCAAGTCTTCAATTCTTCTCTTGCTGAAACGTACTCCTACAGTAGAATATACAAGGCCAGTCCCAAAATGAAGAAATACGCGAACGAGGACCAACCTCCGTCCGGTTTTCGAAAGGGTTTCGAGCAGAAAAATTGATGGTTTGGGCTGGGACAGTTTTCAAAGGCACGTCCTTACTAGAGCAACTGTAGTCAACAAGATGTCAAGCTTTTATCTTCCCCAACATTTCCTCTGCCCCTCTCCACAAACATGGCGCTCGCGCTGCCAGATCGCTAGTTCTGGAAGGAAATTCCAGAAGTGTCTCGTAGCATCTTTCGCGACCCCTCGTCGACCTCAAGAACGCTAAACCAAGCCTGGCTGGTTCCCAATGACGCGTCCTTTCCCGCCCCCCCCAACCTGGAAAACACTATGTCCTGTATACATTCGTGTGCTAGTTTAGTATTTCAAGACTAAAAAAGTTGTTATCGCGTAGAGTCAAGTAAGCACAACCGACGCTGGTAGCATGCTACGGAAATTAGGCAAATGCTCCCCCCATGCTCATCGGAGGTGGACACCTCGCCAAGCCGCCGAAATATCTTCACCGATTAGTGGATGGCTCAGGCTGCGATTCGTTGAGTGAAATTGCGACCTCAGATTTGTTTACCCCCCCCCCCCCCGTAGCGCAACGATGTTTGCCATCGGGATTGGGATTTCGTCGCTTGGCAACGACGTCGTAAAACAGGCCGCCCCCCCTGGTGTTTGCCATCGTGGTTGGGTTTTCGTCGCTTGGCAGTGATGTTGTAAAACAAGCCGATCACTTCGTGAGCTCGGCAACCAGGTTACCGCTTCTTTTTTTTGCCTTTTTTTTTTTTTTGCGGTAACCATGAATGGTGGTCGAGTAGATAAAGTTGTGCGGGGTCGAGAACCCTCACTCAGCGCAAAGGGTATAATCGCACGTTGTGTTAAATTGGTCAAGCACCCTCGAGGCAGTTACACAGCGCTTCCAACTAACCGTCTCTGGAAGTGAAAGCACCAGAAAATAAATTAAGTCATGCGCAGCTGTCATCCGTAAGCAAGGAAGTAAGCACAAGATGCCGAACACCCTTAGCAGGATGCAGCGCACCTTCATGCCACTCGCCGAATACCTCACGGCGCTTCGCGCTTGGTGATGTGAGAACATGGTCCGGTGAGAACCCGGCGTGCTCCGTCCCGGCTTTGTAGGGATGCGAAGTCAATGGTCTAACGACTACGGCATGCACGACCCCCCCCCCCCCCCCCCCCCCTAACCCCTAAATTGCTTTTTTCAAAAAAAAAAATTTTTTTCCATAACCCCCCCCCCAAAAAACACACCCCACCCCCGGTCCCAAACACCAAAAAAACCCCCCCCCCTAAAAAAAATTTTTTTTGGAAAAATTT